TTAGTAGCAGGACTAGATGGACCTAGACACTAGGACTACTTCTAACTAACGTATAACCTATTCTTATAGTCTAGTTTAGCAAATGATTTGAATTTTTTTTTAGAAACGAAAAGCATAATACTATGAGAGATATGTGCGATTTCAATATCACTGAAGTAGCATATACAAATTTTAATCTTAATCTTCGGCATTTTTTCTAGGAATAAATCAAAGGGTACCAGATGGTGCAGTTTCTCATGTATTCTACGAAAAATTAACACTTGAAGCTTAGTGTTTGCGCTCAAACCCATAACATTAGCTTTCAGAGAAATCTTATGAATATGGTAACGAAATATATTATAGAGATGCACATTGAGAATACAAATACAGATGTTTTTATCAGTTATGTATTAGGCAGTCTAAATGGCGTAGTATTGAAGCTTTTACCGAATAAAATCGATTTCTTCGGTTTCATCATCTAGCTTGAAAGTCAACTGATTTTATGGGCAGATTTGGCTTTTTTATGCCGATTAAAAAAAGGTTATTCAAGAAGTAGATGAAATGTGAAGATACTGAGAGCGGAGGCATATAAACGGCATACATTATGTATTATTTCTGTTGAAATAAGAGTTAGAAGAATCCACCAATATAAAAAAAGAATGATTTCTTAATCGCCTAAATATCAAGGAGCACATTCGTCCAGAACTGGCACTTTTAATGAAGTTTCGGTCTTAGCAAAATTTTAAATCTCGGCCATCATACCCAATTTGTTGTGACTGAAAGGTTTTCAAATCATTTGTAATGCTATAGTACAAAACTCTGTCAAGACCAAAGAATGTTTATCAGCTAAAGGGACTGCAAAGTCATTTCAAAAACCTTCAAATGGTTTTTCTGCTTGATAAAACTTTCATTATACCTGCTTAGAAACCCATACAGATTTTACCTAATAAATCATTTCATTGAAACTAGCTTTCTAAACAGACATTTAACCATCATATATTCAGCCGCAAGAAACAACGGTAGTTTTTAAAAGTAACCCTCGAAGGTTAATGAATCTCAAAAACAGTGAGAGACTGGTTCGTTGATTACTAAAAATTATAAATTTCTAATGACTGTAGACAAAGAAAAATTCCAGTTTAGTTTCTTACTTTTGTTTCATTTTCATCGGAAAGATGCAAACTGAGACGCACCTTATCTGTTAATTAGACTTTATTCATTTAAAAGACACTTGATAGTGAATTAAATAAGCTGTAGGTAACTTGAAGAAATCAGACGAACAGTATGCAGTCAGGTTAATCTACAAAAATTGCTCACTGGCTTCCAGTAAGCGATCCCATTCTAAGTAAAGGAATGAAGTCGGTAAGAAACGTCAATATTTATAGTATTTATTCACACAGTTATTGCAAATATCGATCGTTTGCTTGACGAAAACAATAAGGATGCGCTAGAGGTAGCTAATGGCTGCAGATTGGATGGAAGCAGGACCCAAAGCATCAAGAAATGATGTAAGAAGTGAACTTTTCAGAAATAGAAAAAAATCCCTAGTAAAGAATACAGTAATTTAAAGAAGAATACCAATTAAGCGCCTATAATCTACGATCTGAATACCTCTGGTGGAGTACAACTTCATAGTAGATTGTCTGTTTCATATAGTATTGCTTACTGGATGAAATGTCTATTCAGACATTCTCACAAGAGGTCATAAACTGTGAGATCGATCAGTTGGAAGCAGAGCGGATGCCGACTGAGGATCTTTTGTAGATAGTCGTTCTGTATCATGAAGTCACAGAGGTGGGAAGCTGTGGACCACTGAACTCTGGTCCAGTGGGTAGATGGTCAGTGAATTCCCCTGGAGACCTGAAGGTCCAGGGTTCGATCCCTAGTGGGATCGTGAATGAGTACTTCTGATGAGTCCATTACAAAGAAGAAACAGCTGCCCAAGGCCTTCATATGTTCAGTGATTTTCCAAGTGACATCAGTACGCGATGAATGCTACTTTAGTAGAAAACCTATTGTTTCATTTGTTGTAAGTTTGAGGGTTAGTCTTAAAAATTAAGCTTCAGTTAAAATATTTTGATAAGTTAGAGGTATGTGAAATATCCTTGGAGAAATTGCTGTGTTTACTAATGAATACTGTGTCTAAAGTTTAAAAGGGTTTAGACGTTAAGTTACAATTAAAATTTCCGTGAGTTTTAGAAACCTGAAGACATGATGAGCTTATTATTTGAACACTTTCGTTGTTAATTATAAAAGGTTTTTAATCTAGTATTATGATTTTATTTTTGTGGACAACTGTTGATAAATAGCTCCAAATCTATGAAAAGTTCTTTCTTTTGTCTACTTCTCCTTTCTTGTACCATTTACAGATACTTTTCTCAAAATCAGATTACTGCTGATGCTTATGAGATACACTGAGCTTACCGGTGGTAATGCATAGAAGGATATTATTGCCAAACACGAACATCCTGCAATAGTTTTGCCCAAACCAGATTGTGGGACACTATCACCATAGCCTACAGTGCATAGTGTTATCTAGTAAAGATTTTAGAGACAAAACAAGCAAATATGTGCATACAAATAAGAAGGTAACTGATTTACATGACGGTCAGGTTATTAGAAGTAAACAACATTTTTATGATGATTTTTCCGCCAAGTAAGTAGTACAATAACTGCAGTGTTTGTTGACTGAATGTTAATACTTAATCGACCTTTTCTGACCTGAAAGTTGGTCTGCACTTTTGCTTATGTCAAAGTTAAAGCACCGTTTCTTCAACAAAGAAGTGACCTCTTTTGAGTTATCATTCTGGTGACAACAAAACATTTTATTAAAATGCAGGTTCGTAAAGATGATGCACATTGTAAGAAGTGAAATATATTTCTATGATTCAGCAGTTTGTCACTAAAATGCGTGAACGTTAAAATTTTGCGAATGATGTTAAATCCCTAATTTTGTTCATAAGCATTTTCTGTGCGCAGATAGTTAGATAAAATGAGCGAATTTCATCTGTTTAATCGAGAAATGCTGGAAACCTTTTATTAAAGTGTGTACACCTAAAATAATGAAACACTATGCTTTCACTAAAAGGCTGGTTCATTTTACTACTGACTTATAGCCTATATACTTGGAAAAAGATCCATTAACTCACTTGAGTATTGAAATCCGACAGAGAGCGATATATCACATCTCTGTAGCACGAATATTTGAAGTCAATTATTTTTTGGTTGACCAACATCTAATGAGAATTCTCAAAAAAATCAGGATGCTTTAGAAAACTGATCCACCCTAATCTCTCACGTATATCAATCGTTATTTTGAAAAGAATCGCCATCAATGAGTTTTTAACTGTGGTGGAAACAGTTTCAACTTCTGGACCCCGAAACATTTAGTTAGCATATAGGCATGTCTACTGTAATCTGAAGCTCGTAGAACATTTTTTTGAAAAGGAAGTTGATGTAGAATAAAGTAAATGAACGCGAATATGGTTACACCTTGTCTACTGTGAAGCAAAACTTTGGCTGCTTAAGCAGAAAGAGAAATCTGACTAGTTTACTCCATTAAAAAATGCGAAGAATATATACAGAGGTTAACATCGAAGGTGAACTACAAGACTTTCCAAGAAATTCTGAAGGAAAATGGATACCCACTGAAATTCATAAATGAGAATCTGAAGATGAAAAACGTCGGAGGACGCTTGCATGCTGCTCCGTAAAAAGACAATTGTTTACCCTAAAGTTTAAGAGGGATAATGTCGCAAATATCCTTAGGAGAAGATCATCAAGATCTTTAAACAGAACATTTTTAACGTCAATCTTAAAATTTTACTCCCTTGTAGGAAACCTATTTGGCAGTATGCAAGGAATAAACTGGGGCACTGAGCCACATCATTGTGTGTACATATTTACTTGCTGCTGTTGAACTGGGTACATCAGCTGTATTATGTATCAACCTGTTAAACGCGCACACAAATACTACCCAAGCTGGCTTACAAAAGGCGAACGGAGATACTTCTTCAACTCTGTAATGAGAAACTTAGGAAAATCAAGAAAATTGGCTCCTTTTGATAACTTCTTCAAACTTTTGTACCAGGTTAGACCAAGTCAGTCGAAAGCTGAAATATGAAAAATTCAAACGTGCAAACCAGTATTATATGTTCGAAAGAAGTATGTACAACCTCTTTTGTTGCCATGGTCATCATGGAAGATCTATCACTCTAAATAATTCTCTTTTCAGATAACTCCATTTTTTGTAGTCATTTCGTTTATTTCCTCAATTTAAACGACTATAGACATTACACAACTTTCACTTATTACTCAGTTTATTTTGACATTTGACTGAAAACTACTCTGGAATATCCCGTCGCTTTTGCTGTATATTCACGAATGTACGGGTAAGAGATTGTTTTACATATAAATGGTGCTTTAATGAATATCTCCTGATTTGTTAAGAGATCTTTTTCCATGAGATGAAACTGTTTCTGACTGATCTTCTTCCGTGAACGACATTAATGATAGTCACGATTGTCTATAGTCTTTTAGACGTCAGCACAGACACTTACCAGAAGCAGACAGTTTCTCTCTGTTTTTAAATTCCTGTAAAAATGTGGACAATTATTCTATTTTTAATCTAGTGTAAAGCACGTCACATTGTTCATATTTTTGATTCCCGGTTTATTTTTCATGATACTGCTTTACCAGATTGTGATGATAAACATTTACCCAGAAGAGCACAAAAAATCATTCATTTATAAAAACAATTTCTAAAAAAAGCTTATGCGGTTACAACATCAATAAATACTTGAAAATAATGAAAATTTGTTGATTGGCAGTATTTTTATAATTACTGAAATCCTCATTTTGATGGCGATGATTATTTTAAAAAATATGATTGCAATTAGTTAACTAGTAAACAAAGCGAATAAATAAACAAATGAGTCATTCATTCATTCATTCTAAAACAATGTTATCAACCAATCACTTAGTTTACTAAATAAATAAGTTATAATTTTTATGGTTAAACTTACTACTCCCCACCACAAAGCATCTGCATATGTGCGGATCTTTTCATTCTCCTTTTTCTCTACTAAGAATATCAAGAATGAACTGAATATAAGACCTAGAAATCCAATATATACAGTTGTGAATAATTCCTAGATAAAGATGACAAAAGAGAAGAGAAACAGGAAATCAGATAATAGCGGAACACATATAGATGCATACAGTGGCAGGAAAATAATAAATACATACGTAACCGAAAACACAGGGGGAAATCTAACCTGTAAACGAATTTCCCGAAACTATGCAAACCTAACAAAGACAGCAAAACTGTGAATATGATTGATTTTAGTATATCACGACAAAGACCATTCATATATGCGTTCGTAGCTATTATTTATGCAAAAGACAATACTCATTAAAGAAATGAATGGCCATGTTGAATAGTTCGTAACCACTGAGCACAAGATAGGAATTTCCCTGTTGATACAACCAGTGTCTTGCAAAACATACTAGGATAAATGCTATATATGTAAGCTAGTGGTTTGTATCACAGGAAGGAAATATTTCACTGTTTAACAATATGGTATTAAAAACCTTATCATAATTGCTTTCACAATAAATACTTTTGAAGTCCTAGCTAGAATCACATAGATACTTTTTTATCCTGAACAGAAGGATCAAACCACATAAGTCAAATTTTTTGAATAATCATTTGCGTATTGAGTGAAGAATAATGATATTCGCTCTGATAGTCTAAATAATGTTGAGATTGGGGTGAAAACTGAACAAGTGGAAGTTGGATTACATTATTTTGAACAGAACAGTCAGTAATCAATAAGAAAGCTTAGTAACCGTGTTAGGGTAAGCGTGTTACGAAAATCAGATGCATATTGAAATTAATACTACCAAAAAAGGGAAAAGAAACAGAGGTAATTGGAAGAAATAGACTAAGTGCAAAACAAAAGAAGAAAAAGCAAGGTTGATAAGTGATGGCAAAGAACAAACAGGAAAGAACAGATATGATTACTCCAAATTACAATCCCAGTCATGGTAAATTCAAGCTAATGAATATATCCTTCTGCTGGCAGAAATCCAGACTAATAACTTGAAGTGCATTGGCTCATGCAATTGTAAGCACTTTCTTTTCTTTTTGCGTATTATTAATAGTAAAGGGCATAAAGGAATCAATGTCATGCCTATAGACCATAAGATGCTTCGTTTTTCAGTGTCTCTAAGGCTTATTTACTGTCTGCCTCAGTCATCTAAATAGGTATTTGCGTGTTTTACTTGAACGTCTGAAATCATTATATCTTGCTTTTTCCACATTTGTCGCCTATTTTAAGTCAAAATGCTGAAATTATTTACGGGAACAAGGTGCTTAAAGCTGTTAAGTCATGTTGTTCCACTTCTTCTACACACATTTCTTTCCAGTATGCTAGGTAGTGCTTTTATATTGCTATATAAGCAAGTACAAATACTAAAGATGTATTCATGTAGCAACAGTCTGTTAAAATTCAACTCATGAATTAATCTCACCTATGATAATTTGTGGAACTGAAAGTGGGACGTTTTGTTGAAGCTTATGGTTAGCACTATTTGTGCAGCTTGGTTCCCAAGATCTTTATTTATGTGACTGGTTAACTCAATGTGACAGTTTTAATCATCATACAGTTTCGGATTAGTGTCAACTGAATCACAGAAAGCTGTTGAGAAGTAGATCACGTTTATTTTAACACAAGCCATTATCTTAAAAAGCATAAACTGTCGCGTTAGTGATACTTTACATATTTTCGCGTATATTGTAGTTTATTTGTTGGGAAGCTAAATTTAAAAATACGTGCGAGTTCCACAATCAATAAAAACAGCGCACACTGAGGATATAAGCTGATTTATACTAAAATGCGTTACTTAAATAATCACTAGCTTATACTTTTTCTCTGTTCGTATTACAACTACAAAAGGCATCTTGACAGACACTATTTCGTACCAGGATTTATCAATAAAGGATTATTAACTAACGAGTAGACTGACATACTTTGGACATTATATATTTGAAACCATGGCAATTGGTAGATGTCAGTTCAGTCAAATCCATTTTCGGATGATAAACTTTGTTGTAGTGACCGAATATGTGAAAATAAACCTACATGTTTTTCTTGATCATATGTTACAACTACTGTTTGAAGAAAGCAGGTTAATTCAATCCAGTATTTATGATATGTCTGTGGTGATCATCAGTTGAGCAACTGAAATCTACTCGTTTATATTTTTGTTATATTTATCGTTGCTGTTTGATGAAATGTCTACAATATTGATCATTTTGGTCTCCTTTCTGGGTCAGTAAGGATACAGATATGTGTATATTCACTTAGAAATTTCCTCTGTATACACATGTTTTATCTGTGATGTAATCGATGCAACACATGTAATTCTTTGAAGTCAAAACCACTTTGATATCAGTGAATATAATAATAATAACATAGAGAGTAAATAAATACTTACCTGTCTATGCGCCCAAACAACAGATGCTAGCAATTTAAAAGAACCACCCCTACGATCCATACGTATCATTCGTAAAATCTGGAAGAATCTCAATCCTCTAAGTGCACTGGCTGCAAACATATTCCTGTCACTATCCACTGCCAGAACAATAACACTCGCAACAATCACAATGACATCTGTTAAAAATCGAATGAAAGTGTAGTTATGGAGCGCAATCATAATTACACTTATGAAAGAAATACAAAGAGTGATTGAAATGATTGATGTGGAAGATTCACTTCAATGTTACATTCAAGTTTCTTGATTATCTTCCAAAATCAATCAGCAAACTCCGAGTTTTAGAGGAAAGACACGTGAAAATACGCCTAAATATCAGGTGGTTTGAAGTGTGTCCTCCAAAAGAAAATTGGAAATTACCAACGGTGTTATATATATATGCTGCTGTAACTACTACATTGTTTAGTCATGAGGAATTATGTGGTTATGCAAAATCTCCTTTTTACTTGTTTGATTTCTAACAGAATTCAGGCTAATTTTGTTTGGTCTGCCTAAAACCTTTCATTAAATCATGCTCCCAAATAGGAGTAGCTACAATCCTCTTATAACTTTCGTTGACTGTTCTAACCGGATCACTTAATCCTGGGATGAAGGAACAGACGAAGTTTACTAATGTCTTTAATTGACTTCTAGATACTAAAGTTACTAAGTGCTTCATTTATGGAAGTCATAATATCACAGCCTATGGTCCTGAGTACTAATATTTTTCGAAATTCAATTTGGGAGTTTGTTGGGATTTCTTGGTTCCAAAGTAGTATTCATTACGAATTACTGAGAACGTGTGAGCACCGGACAGTTGTTTGGTTCCAATATTTGACTCCTATTCGGAACGCACCCAAGACTGTACAAGGGACTGAACTCAGAACCTTCAGCTTCTGCAGCAAGTATGATGCTATTGAACCACTGGGTCGGAATCCAGTGGTCCACAGTTTCCTACTTCCATCAATTTACTAGATGGTGTTACGTTTATTTAATGCCGTCGCTGAGTATTCATCTTTACCGGTTACAACGTCTCTTTAACATTTCACAAAGCTTTATCTAAAAGCAAGTCACTAGTGAATACTGGACAGTAATTCACTCTGAAGGTTTATGATTTGCCGAAATAAAAATGAGGGTAGTTAACGGCAACATAACGGTCTAACATTTCTGCATAATCTTTATCCTAAGTTAATAAGTTTAAAATGCTGACACTACATAGAATAATATTTTCTCTCGGGGTTCCTCTCTTTAGCTTGACATTAACCCAGAATGACCTGTAAACACACTGGAGTGTACTGTTACTTATTGTTACGTACTTAGAAATCAGCAACTGGGCATAAATCAATTCAGTATTTTATTTACGGCCGCAACTCAGTACTCAGCTTGAATGGAAATAGTGTTAACTTATATTTTATTCAATCATAAGCGCTACCACTTATTCACCGAATAGTATTCACTACTTAGACTTCATAGCGCTTTTGTGTAATCCATTTAAAAAAAGCTATTTGGCAAGGTGTTTAATTATATGCGTAATCAGGAACAACTTTAATCTGGGATAAAGCTTCTGTAGCCGTCTGATCATGAATTTGGAATCTCTGAAGAGATATTTACATCATGCTCTAATTTTGCTAATTACAAGACATTTAATGATAGAATTCATTTTATTTCACGTGCAAGCATGCAAAACCTTTGCCGCTTGATATTTCAAATAATTTACCATCATTTACAAACCAAGATCCTTGCTACAAGTTAGGGTTTTGCGATAGAATATAAGAATATAAATTTGTATGTATTTTAGGTTGCATAACAGTGGTACTCCTGGTACAAAAGCATAAAGTTAACTTACCTACAATACAAAACGGTCTTCTGGCAAAATTTAATCTTCCACGCCATGTCTGATATCTGGATCTACACCCAGCACTCCATAAACGTAGGCAATATTCAGCAAAAAACCAAAAAAGTATTACAAGTTCCTTTAAGGAAAAAGGAAGTAATCAAAACATTAATTTATTGGCGTATGATACAAAATGGAAATCGATGAGCATCTGAACTAGATGATAAAAGATTATATCAGTATTGCCTATTGAATCGTCTAATCTCTTTTCAAAATATGTAATTAAAGGATGTTTGTCTGTTGGTTGGTAGTATATTATCGTACTCTCTTAAATAATACTGGGTTCTGCTCTATGCTTATTGTCAGTCATCAACCGTTCACATCTACCATCTGGTAAATTTTCATATTTGGAGATGGATTTTAGGTATGACTACTCAAATAGAGCAATAAAGGTAGGTATAATGCTTATTTTTATGTTTCATGTCTGAAAATCACTTCTTAGAATTTAGATAGCAAAGTTTATTACAATCATCAAGCAAGAATATTTATTATTACTTCTATAGTAGTGGGATAGTCAACATACATTTAACTTAAGAGAACAGCCAGTCAGTACTTGGGACAAATATATTTTTCTTGACCGAAGTTTCAAAAAATATGAAACTGCAAAATGTGACATGTGGTACATTTGTTAAGGATCGAATGCTCTAAATCTAATCCCTTTTCATTTCCTAGCCTGTTTTCTCAGAGACCTTGTTAGCAGGCTGAATCTTCTGGGTGCCAACAAAACCTAATTTTTAGTTAGTATTCCTCACGGACTGAAATCAGCTGAGGAACGATTGATAACCTGAGCACACTGGACAGCTGCTTCGTCCTACCATGGGACTCCTCAGCGGTGCTCACCCACAACCCGGATAGGGATCAAACCCAAGACCTCGACGTTTCAGGGAGAATGCTCTAATTCACTGGGTCGGATTTTGGTGGTTCACAGTTTCCAACTTCAGTCAATTTGCGATGAATACTACCTCAAAATTAAAATCTTCATTAACCTCAAAAAACTAATTCATTGAACATGAGTCATAGAGAGTTAGTCATTTACTTTCAGGCGAAAATTGCTATCCTAAGCTCTAAAATATCGATGATCAGACGCGGAGTAACTTCTTTTACTACCAGTTGCGATTTAAACACACATTCAAGTGTTAGGTCTAGTTTCAGATTTACATCTGGATCGAAGTCGGTCTTAGGCACCGTTTACAATCGAGATATGCATGTTCTACAGCGTAAAAGTAGGTTCCAGGGTCAGATAATGATAATAATTTATTTCTATTTTTCCGTATTTCTCGAAAACACAACACAAATCTTCATTGTTGTGGTTAACCACTGAGCATCATATGTTCACATTATTGTGCACCTGTTGTTTTCTTTTCAACTTTTTCAGAATCTGACTTAATTTGCCTATGACATTCTGTCAGTTATAGTTTGACATTTTCCAACATGCATACAAGAAAACCTGTTCTCGTCAGTAAGATAAGGAGTATACACTTTAAAATAAGTATTTGCTCACTACTTGTGCTACATTTAAATATTATGGACTGTGAGTATGTGCATAATTATCGTCCAACAGCTGTTTAGTTTCTACAAACTTAAGTAGGTCTAAAAGGAAGTGTTTGCGAACGTTTTGCGCTTGCTAATAACTGTCGGAAGAACCTTGCTATATCTTATTCCGGAGTTGAGATTCATTCGATATCCATTCAAAGGCAAACTGCCTTTTTGAACATCATGACTTTAAGGAATCCCTAAAATATTTGAATGTTGAAGGCATATAAGTTACAAAATACTACTATCAGTCCTTTGGATTCTACAGGCAAGTTATGAAATAATATATTCAAAGTAAGTGACATGATACTGACGTGTACTTTACGTGTTCCTAGGTGCTTACACAACATAATTTATTGCAGTAATAATATTTTTACCGATGTACTAATGTTAGTTATAATATTGTTCCACGTTTACTCCAAATAGCTTCTCTATAGTAATATAGATGTCATTGAGAATACATTGACGAAAGTTCCATTTTAGCCTGTTTATTAGGACTACCACACAGTGAATCTATTATTTACTGCATTAACTTTTCAGACATAATTTGCTGTCCATATTCATATCAGGTGTCCGAAAAGTTATCCAGTAAATGATATTGTTTCACTTTGTCAAATTTCTAATAAACAGACTAAAATGGAATTACAATCGACCACAGTGGCAAAGTTTTATTCCTATAAAAACACTGATGAAAGATTTTCACATTTTAGACTGAGTTAAAGTCTTGCAGCTAGTCACCTCCAGCCGCAATAGTACAACAATAAAGTTCTCACCTTCGACACTGTGGTGTACTACAACTGTGTTTATAAATTCGTCTTAGTTACATTCAGTTTTTGTTAGGAGATCATAAACAAGGTCACATAGAGCAGTATTACCTAAGATAATCTGAATTTCACAATAGTAAACTTTTTCAGTAATACGACAAACATAAAATTATTGATAAAACTTGCAGATTTTATAAAAAAATGAATATTTAATCTGAGTCACCAAAGCATATTTATATAGATGGGTAATCTCTCCATAGAAACATTTTAACTGGGCATTTTATCTTTTGCTTCACATATTTTTGATGTAAAACAGACATTTTTATCAGATGTGTTTCCTTAACTGCTTATTTGTTTTCTAATGGCATCTATACATTTTGGTGGTTCAATAAGAGAACACCAGTGATGGGTCATTTAATGGAGATAGTTATGGACTAGTTTACTAGTTTACTAGTTACTAGCCGGTCCTAAGCCCGGGTAAAGAGGGAAGGTTGGGCATAGGGCTAGCAACCCTACCCCGTAAAACAAATCTAACCGCTAAAGAAACTTCAAAGCACAAACAAAATATAAAAAATGAAAACAAACTTATACCCCGCTGGAATCGGAGAGGCGAAATGACGCCAGTTGGTGAAAGCCTTCGGGAAGCCAATTGGCCGATGTGTCTTCTCTCGATGAAAGCGAAAGTAAACGTGGGGACATGGAATGTCCGCACGATGTTTGAACCCAGTAAGGCAGCCCAGATTGCAAAGGAGATGAGAAGGTATAACATCGAAGTGCTTGGGATTTGCGAAAGCAGATGGAATGGGAGTGGACTCTCCAAACTGTCAACTGGAGAATCAATAATCTACTCCGGTCACCCAGACGCCAACCACGAGCACACTGAGGGAGTGGCTATCATGATGTCCTCAAGAGCATCGAAGGCTCTCATGCAGTGGGAACCAATCTCCTCCAGGATCATGACAGCAAGGTTCAACTCAAAAGGAAGAAAGGTCACAATCATACAATGTTATGCACCTACAAATAATGCAGAGCAAGAGAAAAAGGAGGATTTCTACAGACAACTTCAATCAACACTGGACAAGACGTCAGTTGGCGATATCAAAATTCTAATGGGCGACATGAATGCCAAACTGGGAGGGGACAATACGGGAAGAGAACTAACCATGGGTCGAGAGGCGCTAGGTGAAATGAATGAGAATGGAGAATTGTTTGCAGAATTCTGTGCATTCAACGATTTGGTGATTGGAGGCAGTGTGTTCAGGCACAAGGATATCCACAAAGCGACATGGACTTCACCAGATGGACACACTAAAAATCAAATCGACTTTATCTCAATCTCAAGAAAATGGAGACGCAGTCTACTTAACACAAGGTCAAGAAGAGGAGCAGATGTAGGTTCAGACCACTATCTAGTGCAAGGAACCTTCCAAATCAAGTTAAAAGCCTTCAAGGAAGCTGGTGATAGACCTCAATTCAAGTACAACACTCGGAAACTGAAGGATGAAACTACAAAGGAGATCTTCAAAGCAGCCATCAAGACAAAATGGGAGACGTCGAGGGACATCCCTGAAGAAACCTGTGTGGAAGAACACTGGAAGTCTTTGAAAGCTGTGTGGAAAGAAACCTGCACAGCCGTATTAGGAAGGAAGAAGAAAGAAGACAAGGAATGGATCTCGACGGATACCTGGAAGCTGATAGAGGAGAGGAGGATGGTGAAGCAGAAGATAAACCAGTGCAAGGATGCTCAACGACAAGAGGAACTGAGCACAATGTATAAAACACTGGATAAAGAAGTGAAGAAGAGTGCACGCAAAGACAAAAGACACTTCTACGACACACTGGCAAGTGAAGCAGAACAGGCTGCAGGTAAGAGAGACCTGACGACATTGTATCAAATAACCAGGTTGCTATCAGGGAAGAGACCAACACAGATGAAACCAATAAAAGATGAAGAAGGAAATTTAATTACAAAAGAAGAGAAACAGAGGAAACGATGGGCCGACCACTTCAAGAAGCTCTTGAATCGACCACCACCTGCACTTCGTCCAGAAATACCACCTGCAGCCGCTGAATTACAAGTGAACATAAATCCCCCAACGAAAATGGAAGTCCTGAACGCCATAAAGCTACTGAAATGCGGGAAAGCAGCAGGACCAGATGGAATACCGCCAGAAGCACTGAGAACAGATGCAGAGACAACAGCGGACATGCTCACACCACTATTGCAGAAGGTGTGGAAGGAAGAGAAGGTACCTGACGATTGGAAGAAGGGTTACCTTGTCAAACTGCCGAAGAAGGGAGACCTCAGTGCTTGCAAGAACTGGCGCGGAATCACTCTCCTGTCCACCCCAAGTAAAATATTAAGCCGCATCATCCTGGAGAGGCTTAAAGACGCACTGGATTCAAAACTGCGACCGGAACAGGCAGGCTTCAGGAAGTACAAATCATGTGCTGACCAAATTGCAACGCTTCGTATCATCATAGAACAGAGCGTAGAATGGCAATCAGCTCTATACCTCAACTTCATCGACTTTGAGAAGGCCTTTGACAGCGTCGACCGAGAAGTAATTTGGAAACTGCTTCAATACTACGGAGTACCGCAAACCTTTATCCGCCTCATTCAACAACTATATGAAGATGCCACATGCCAAGTAATCCACAATGGGAAGCTCAGTGATGCCTTTGAAGTGAAGACAGGAGTGAAACAAGGTTGCCTACTATCCCCCATGATATTCCTTATTGTGGTGGACTGGATCATGCAGCAAACAGTAGGCAGCGAGAA